GCCGATGATGATGAAAGTGAGTCTGATGCTGGCATCCTACACCAGAACTTAACCTTCGCCATCTGCGCCCTTCAGGGGCTGCTACGAAAACTTGGTGCCGGGCTCGACGATCTTTTGCCATCTTCGACTGCATCCGGGTCGTCGTCGCATCAGAGCGGGCGGCTGAAGAAGATCTTGACCGGGCTGAGGGCTGAAGGAGAAGAAGGGCGGCAGGTGGAGGCGCTGACTCAGCTTTGCGAGATGCTATCGATAGGGACGGAGGAGTCGCTGGGATCATTCTCCGTGGATTCTTTCGTGCCGGTTCTTGTTGGGTTGTTGAATCATGAGAGCAATGCGGACATTATGCTTCTTGCAGCGCGGGCGCTCACGCATTTGTGCGATGTCTTGCCGTCTTCTTGCGCTGCAGTCGTGCATTATGGTGCTGTTCCTTGCTTCTGTGCAAGGCTGCTGACCATTGAGTACATGGATTTGGCTGAGCAAGTTAGATTCCTGCTATTCTCTACGTATTAGTTTCTGTTATCTTTTAAAGATACAAATTTGTGTGCTATATATGACTGAAAAAGTGGGGGAAAGAAAATGTTTTTGGCGCATTTTTCGTTTCCGAGAAATGGTTACTGATTCTTTTCCATCTTATCTATGCCAGCCACTCTCATTATTTGCATGTGTTGTTTCTCTTGCAGTCTTTACAAGCTCTCAAGAAGATATCACAGGAGCATCCGACTGCTTGTTTGCGTGCTGGTGCACTTATGGCGGTGCTGTCTTATCTTGACTTCTTCTCTACTGGGGTTCAGGTAGCAAATTCTTTCTTGATGCTCATTTTACCTTGCTTATTTTTATCTATTAACTGATTTTACGTTGAAATGATCATTCTTTTCAGAGAGTAGCTCTATCTACTGCTGCAAACATGTGCAAGAAACTCCCATCAGATGCTGCCGACTTTGTAATGGAAGCGGTTCCACTGCTTACGAACCTTCTCCACTACCATGATTCAAAGGTAAATCAGATGTGTATTATATAGGCATTAAGATAATTTACTTCTTTCATTATATGTCTTACCTTTGCTTGAATCAGTAAGATGTCTGTTTTACTTAAGACTTCTGTTGAACTTTGGTATTTGATGCCAGGTTCTTGACCATGCTTCAGTTTGTTTGACGCGTATTGCTGAAGCATTTGCCTCATCCCCGGAGAAACTGGATGAGTTATGTGATCATGGGTTGGTTGCACAAGCTGCTGGGTTGATCTCCATCAGTAACTCAGGAGGGCAGGCCTCTCTCACTCCATCAACATACACGGTATGCATATTCTAAATCACCAGATACTGGTTAGCGTATAACATTCTCCTTCTGCTAATCCTAAATTTGAGCTTATAAAAATCTTCCAGGGTTTGATCCGCCTCCTGTCAACATGTGCGAGTGGATCACCGTTAGGAGCCAAAACCCTTCTCCTGCTTGGTATCAGCGGTATTCTTAAAGATATTCTTTCTGGTTCTGGTCTCGTAGCCAATATATCGGTTTCTCCTGCTTTAACAAGGCCACCAGAGCAGGTATATATATTTTCTCCTCCATTCCATGGTATTTAGGTTATTTACTCTCTCTTGCTAGTATGTTTTTGGCAAAATTAGGTTGTCCCTTGAATGTCATTTTGGCCTATAGCTCTCTGCGCATAATGCAAGTCCTACTGTTCAATTTTGGAGGGTTATGGATCTTAGTATATTATTTACAATGTCATCTCTTTTTAAATTATAAAACATTTGGGATAATTGCCAGTTGCATGTTCAGACCTTTGCTTGGATTTCACTCATCTGTGAAGATCTAATGCATGTTAGGTTCCTAATGTTTCTTAGAAAGCTCTTCTCTATACATCTTTCAGTAGATAGCTACCAGTAATTCAACCACAAGTCCATATTATAGCCCAGAATTTATCATCCCTCTTGTTTTAAGGCATTGCAGCAGATAGTGTTAGTTAAATACATTTATTATATTATTTAGAATTTCAGTTTAACCCATCAAGTTCCATTTATTGCTACACGAATTCATATTCTACAATTGCTACAAATTTTGGTTGCATTTCAAATTAGTTTCACGGCTTTATGTTTCTAAAGTTTTCACTCTTTAAGTCATGATATTGGTGGAATATATGATATCAAGGTTTTAAATGTTGGCCGACATGTCCGACATGTCCGACATGTCGGCCGACATATCGGTTTGAGGGTTTGACCGACACAACATGGACGTTTTTAACTCGTATGTCGGTTTTCAGGGCCAAATCGGAAATATCAGGATCATATCGGGCATATCAGCCTATTTTTTAGCTTTGAAAAATCGACCGATATGGTACTTTTTTTAAGATCTGTTTTTTGTTATCGGGTTCGGGTTTAGTGATAAATACTCAAACCTGTTTGACCCGTTCTCATGTTAAGGGTTTCTTATGAACCCGATAGAAAGAATTTATGAACCCAAATCCATATATTATTTACTTTTTTTATATGTTTAGTCTATAGAATTTATAAAGTATGCTTATATTGAATTTATGAATGCTTAGATTACATTTAGGACATGATATTATACATATGCGCACTACCTGATATGGCAATCCGATGTTTAGTCAATGTCCCCCGATATATCCCGATTTCCGCTATCCGATATGGATTTCAGCCATCCGACATGAACCCGACATCCGACATTTAAAACCTTGTATGATATGCATGAATTCCACAATCACCTCTCACGAAGTGGGTATATAGAGGTCTTGATTGCAGCTATTGAGCTTAGAATTTCAATTTCTTATGGTTGATTGATTTTGGTTTTTAATTTTTATGTACAAGAAAGACCATGTAATGAAAATACGGAAGTCTAAAGATGCTGAGTGACCATGCAATTGTGAAACTCTACTATTACTTACAACATTCAAGCTTGCTCCACCACTTGTGGCTTGTGGATGAAACATCAATGTTATTTTGGGAAAAATGCTTTCACCCCCAAATTAAAATCGATTCCTCCCTCCAGGCCAATAAGCCGAACACGGATAACCCTCTGGACTTAAAAAGTGGTTCCCTTTCCCCCTTTACCTGTATCTTACAGATCTGGGTGAATGTACCATCTTTTCCCATTTTACCCCCATTTAAGGCTCAATTGCACTCATTTTATTGTGATTCACGATAACTGACGTCCTCACTTTCTCTCTAAATATGAAAACACAGATCAGTGACCACAGAACTCATTCTACGATAAAGCAATCATGATGAGTACGTTTTTTTCCTTAAAAATTTCAAATGGAACATTAGGATTGCATTCCGAAATGTAATGTAACGCCAGTGAGTCAATGACTCGTATCTAAGGTTTCAGCGTTCATAAATGTCAAATGTTAAACTTCGGAGAAACAAGCTCATTTCCTGTCTGATATTATGCATCATTGTGTTTCCATACTTAGTTGAAATCATGCACAGAAAACTTCCTTCATTGGCGATGATTTAAAACAGCAAAACAAGAGGATATGTACAATAAATGGTGGAAAGGTGAGAGACGAAAGCCATTGAGAAAGGAGACCCACATAAGATATATAAGATGTAATTTTGGTGGGAAAATAATGGATCCTCTCGAAAATGCTCTCTACCTTCCTAATTATTGTCTTATCAGCGATTAGCAAAGCCAAAATCAAGGATTTAGCTGTCAATTCCATTTACTGAGGACGAAAACTCAGCATAAGTGGATCATGATCTTTGTTGGAAGCAAGGTATTTTTGTCCTTAACGAGAATAACATATCCCAAATCGAAGGTCTAGTTGGGACAAGGGGGGATGAGAATCACGTTTAAAGTTCAGAGAGTATACGTGTTTTACTTATTGAACTGGGTGGAGGAATCAATTTTAATTTTCAGGGGGTGGAGGCATTTTCCGAAAAAATTAAACTAATCTCGTCATACATTCCTCAAAATGTGTGAAATTAATTATGTTGGGACCTTGGACGTGCAATAAAAATTGATGTTACTCCAACAGAGTGGTCGGATTATAGTTGAACTTGCTGCAGGGATAAGGGTGGTCAGGAAGGAAGATTATAATATATTGAAAAATAATGGTTGCTGCCAATATAATTAAGATAAGGCCTTGAACATATCCAAAAGAATAAAAAAAACATTTAATCTAGTCTTGATGTTTATTGTGTGGATGTTCATCGAGGTAGAAGCTTGTTTTTTCTATTGGCAGATGATCTAAATCCTTGTTTCAAAATGGAACCCTTTGGTTTTCAACCTCAACTTAAGTCTTGGTTTTATCCAATTTGTCATAGACACTAAACCCCTCAATGGTTTCTCTAACTAGAATAAATTCCATCATGATTCCAGTCTAGTGGTTTAGCAATTTCATCATTATTTATCATATATATGTAGCCTTTCTTTTGATGCACTGAAGTCAATGGTGTCATCTTCGCTAGCTTGAGTGCTTGCATCTCAGTCCATTTTTTGTCTAGTTGCATCTGTTATATTTTATTTACAAGAACAATGAGAAAAGCCTTTGTAATAAACTTAGGATTTTTGGCTTTGATTTTCTGATAATGTGATCAAGTTGATTCTATCGATCAGATTTATGAAATGGTGAACCTGGCTAATGAACTTCTTCCTCCGCTGCCCCACGGAACTATCTCTATCCCTGTTCCTTCTAACATTCTTGTGAAAGGATCGGCTGCGAGGAAAACCCCTGGTACTACTTCTGTAAAGCAAGAGGATGCCAATGCAGCAAGTAATGAAGTTTCAGCTCGTGAAAAATTATTGCAAGATCAACCTGAACTTCTGCAACAGTTTGGGCTGGACCTCCTTCCTGTTTTAACACAGGTTTGATTCGTTTGAATATCTGAAAAAATTATTTATTATTTATGGCCAACTGCTGTTATTTGTTTTCAGTTGACATTCATATCTTCCTTTTTCATTAAGTAGATATATGGCTCCAGCGTCAATGGTCCAGTTCGCCATAAATGTCTATCTGTAATTGGAAAGCTGATGTATTTCAGCTCAGCTGATATGATCCAGTCATTACTTAGTGTAACAAATATATCCAGGTAGTGATCCATTTATATGTGTTTAAATTATGTAAGATATTTAGAGATTGTGAAAAGAGCTCGAGAACTTTGTGCTGAATGTATGTCATTTGTGGTGCAGCTTTCTAGCAGGTGTTCTGGCATGGAAAGATCCACATGTTTTGATCCCTGCTCTTCAGATAGCTGAAATTCTTATGGAGAAGCTTCCAGGAACATTTTCCAAGATTTTTGTTAGGGAAGGAGTTGTTCATGCTGTAGATGCATTAATATGCCTTGATTCTTCAACTGTAGTTCCTTCTCAAACATCCTCTGAAAAGGACAATGATCCTTTGCCTGGAACAACTTCCCGTTCTCGTCGGTATCGACGACGTAGTGGTGGTCTAAACACAGATAATAGCTCATTGGAAGAGCTTAAAGGTTCTGTGCCTGGAAGTTCTGGCTCACCTCCAACCTCTGTTGAAGTTCCTAGTGCAAATTCTAGCCTACGCTCTTCAGTCAGTACATGTGCCAAAGCTTTCAAAGAGAAATATTTCCCTGCAGATCCTGGGGCATCTGAAGTTGGAGTGACAGATGACCTTCTCCGTTTGAAAAATCTTTGTGCGAAGTTAAATTTCAGTATTGAAGATGTGAAGACCAAGGGCAAAGGTAAATCTAAAGTCTCTGGGTCTCGCTATTTCGATATTTCGGCTAGTAGTGAAGAGGAACTGGATGGCATTATAGCTGAGATGTTGGGTGAGCTCACCAAAGGTGATGGTGTATCAACATTTGAGTTTATTGGTAGTGGAGTTGTTGTGGCTTTGCTAAATTATTTTTCATGCGGAACATTTGGAAAGGATAGAATTTCAGAGGCTAACCTGTCAAAACTTCGTCATCAAGCTCTCAGAAGGTACAAATCATTCATTGCAATTTCACTTCCCATCAGTTTCAAGGAAGGGAAGGTGTCTCCAATGACTATCTTGGTTCAGAAGCTGCAAAATGCTTTATCTTCATTGGAACGCTTCCATGTTCTGCTAAGCAATCAACATAGATCGTCTAGCAGTGGATCTGCGCGTTTGTCTTCTGGTCTAAGTGCTTTATCTCAGCCATTCAAGTTACGTCTTTGTCGAGCTCAAGGTGAAAAATCTCTTCGTGATTATTCTTCAAACATTGTTCTCATAGACCCTCTTGCGAGTCTTGCTGCTGTTGAGGAGTTTCTTTGGCCAAGAGTCCAACGCAGTGACTCTGGACAAAAGCCTTCTGGTTCAGTAGGAAATTCTGATGTAGGGGCTACAGGAACTGGAACAGTTGCCCCCTCACCGTCTGCGTCAACTCCTCCTTCGGGCCGTCGCCCTTCAACAAGATCTAGGACATCGGTAACAATTGGAGGTACAGCAAAGAAGGATGCTACTGAGGGAAATCCAACCACTTCTAAAGGAAAGGGTAAAGCTGTCCTCAGATCTACTGATGAAGCAAAAGGGCCCCAAACAAGAAACTCTGCCCGTAGAAAAGCAGCTGCTGATAAGGACACAGAGATGAAACCTGCACTGGGAGAATCTAGCTCAGAGGTCTGTCTTCAATCTAGTTTCCTTTGCTTTGCTTATGTGTGACTTGCATATTTTGTCTTGCAATATGAATGCAAATTTGTTAGTTCAAAACTCTAATCTTGTCGATTATCATCAATTTAGGGTTTCTTGTCACGTGGGCGTGATTTGTACTTGTTGTCTATGAGTTCTTGACTCCTTAGTTTGCATGGGATCCAATATGGTAAAGATCAGTCTAGGCAGCTTCTTGGGAAGAGGACTCCACGGCTGCCACCTAGGGAATGGGAGGTGGCCTGTCTAGATGCAATAGATGCAGATTTAAAGAACTATAAAATGGCAGGACTGCCTTCTATCATTTCCTGCAATGTAATAGAAAGCGCTAGGCACTTCTAGGTGGCAGACCAATTGCCTAGAGCATGGGCGCCTAGGTGGGTTCTTAATCGGCATGTATTCGTTTTTAGAATTAAGAGAGGAAGGATTCTTTTTGAAGATTCAAAATCCTTTCCTCTTTGTTTACCTAAGATGGATTTGGATATATAGTTTTGATCCCCATTCATTTTGACTTGGCCTATCCTCTTCATCTGTTACCATGCACCCAAGTCAGCAATATACCTAGCCCTTTTTTATGCAGTGCAGTCTGCATAAGAGGCCAATCTCTTCTTGTGGCTTGCAAGACCTGGGCGAGTGCCCAGACTGCTTTTTAAACCAATGATTGGTTGTGGTCACTACCTCTTTGAATCCGCTGGGCTTTGCTATGTTGATGCTTTCTCTGTCACAACCATCGGTTAGAGGAAGTAAAGAGGGGGAAGAGAAGTGCATTTGAGTGTAATTAACCTTAACTGGAAATGCGGGTCATGGTTAGCTGGTTGCATAATTAAATTTAACTTACCTGCAGTCATATCCTGTCAAAACATGTCTCGCTGGTACATAGAACAATAAAAACCTAAACATTTCTCGCTGGTACATGGAACAATAAAAACCTTACTTTCTACCGCCACCTACTCTCAAACTTCATGTATATATTATTTATGAGGCTTGTTTTGTATCATATAAATATCCAAAATGACTTGTTCAATTGTTAATGCAGGATGAGGAAATAGACATGTCTCCTGTTGAGATAGATGACGCTTTGATGATTGATGAGGATGACATTTCAGACGATGAGGATGATGACCATGAAGAGGTGTTATGCTAGTTTATTATTATTATTAAATAGCTTTAGCATGTTACTTTTGCCTTTTTTTGCCTGCTGGTTTCATGGAAGTCATCACTAGCCCCCTTAGTTCTTTTATTTCTTAAGCTGATAGAATCTTGGAATCTGCTCCTTTGTGTCTCTTTTTTGGTCACTATATATATGGAGTGTACTGTGCCTACAGAATAGTCTTGATGGGTTCTCAAAATAATTATCCTTTCAGGTGCTAAGGGATGAGTCTCTTCCTGTTTGCATACCTGAGAAGGTGCATGACGTTAAATTAGGGGATACAGCTGATGATCCTGCAATTGCTTCTTCTGCAAATGATAACCATGCACAACCTTCTGGTTCTGCCAATAGAACAACTACAGCTAGAGGCTCAGAGTCTGCCGAATTCAGAAGTGGAAGCCCGTTTGGTTCAAGAGGTGCCATGTCCTTTGCAGCTGCTGCTATGGCTGGGCTTGCATCTGTTAGTGGCAGAGGGATAAGGGGTGGCCGTGATCGTCGTGGAGTTCCATATGGAAGCAATATAAATGATCAGTATAACAAGTTGATATTCACAGCAGGTGGAAAACAGCTCAGCAAGCACTTGACTATTTATCAGGCTGTCCAACGCCAACTTGTGCTTGATGAGGACAGTGATGAAAGGTTTAACGGCTCTGACCTTCCTAATGATGGAAGTAGGTTCTGGAGTGATATTTTCACCATAACTTATCAAAAGGCAGATGGTCAGATGGATAGGGGTTCCCAAGGAGGTTCAACTTCCTCTCTTTCAAAGTCTTCAAAATCTGGCTCTGCTTCGAACTCTGGTGTTGAAACTCGTTGCCAGCACCTGTCCCTTCTGGATAGCATCTTGCAAGGAGAGCTTCCTTGTGATCTAGAAAATTCTAATCCTACCTACAACATTTTGTCACTTTTGCGTGTTTTGGACGTTTTAAATCAATTAGCTCCTCGTTTGAGACTGCAGACAGTGGCAGATGAATTTGCAGAGGGTAAAATTTCAAGTCTTGATGAACTCTATCAAACCGGTGCCAAGGTTCCTTCTGAAGAGTTCATCAACAGCAAGTTGACCCCTAAGCTTGTTCGTCAAATCCAGGATGCTCTTGCATTGTGCAGTGGCAGTCTTCCTTCATGGTGTTACCAGATGACGAAAGCATGTCCTTTTCTGTTTCCCTTTGAGACGAGGAGGCAGTATTTCTATTCAACTGCTTTTGGACTATCCCGAGCTTTGCATCGACTCCAACAGCAACAAAATGCTGATAACCACAGTTCAGTGAATGAAAGAGAGGTCCGAGTTGGAAGATTGCAGCGGCAAAAGGTTCGTGTTTCTAGAAACCGTATATTGGATTCTGCAGCAAAAGTAATGGAAATGTATTCCAGTCAGAAGGCTGTGCTTGAAGTCGAATATTTTGGAGAGGTTGGTACCGGATTAGGTCCAACCCTGGAATTTTATACTCTCTTAAGTCACGACTTGCAGAAGGTTGGACTTGGATTATGGAGATCCAGTTCTGGGCCAGACAAATCTGCAATGCAAATTGATGGGGATAAAATGAAAGATGGGAACATAGATGAGGTTTCAGATGCAAAGAAGCGAGGATCTGATGTGGCTGCTGAAAGCAGAAATTTCATACAAGCTCCTCTTGGCTTATTTCCTCGCCCATGGCCCCCTAGTACAGAAGCATCTGAGGGAAGTCAGCTCTACAAAGTTATTGAATATTTCCGTCTCCTGGGTCGAGTGATGGCTAAAGCTCTACAAGATGGTCGGCTTTTGGATTTGCCGATGTCGATGGCATTTTACAAACTTGTGCTCGGTCAAGTAAGTTACTGTATTGGTATAGTATATTATTTATTGCATTCTTATGTAGATTTGGACGACTGGCATAAATTTGATTGTTTATAATGTTCTACAGGAGCTTGATTTGTACGATATTCTTTCATTTGATGCTGAGTTTGGGAAGATTTTGCAAGAAATGCAAATCCTTGTTTGTCGAAAAAAGTTTCTAGAGGCAGCAGATAGTAGCAACCACAAAGAAATTGCTGATCTACGCTTCCGTGGTGCTCCCATTGAAGATTTGTGCTTAGATTTCACACTTCCTGGCTACCCAGAGTATATCCTTAAAGAAGGGGAAGAAAGCACATTGGTGAGCAATCTATAGTTGAAAATGTCCTCATGTTTTCACTTTATAGCTGTTACATGGCCTATTTTTATTTCGTTCGTGATTTTCCAGGTCAACATCAACAATTTAGAAGAGTACATTTCCTTGGTTGTTGATGCAACTGTTAAAATAGGAATCACACGGCAGATAGAAGCCCTCAGGGCAGGATTTAACCAGGTGAATTTTCCTTTCCTTCAGAAATTTAAGTTTTGGTGATTTTCCTATTGGATTTGGGTTAATTTTTAAGAATTCCCTTGTTATTACTCGATCGAAACATTCTTTTGTATTTTAACATACTTAGATGATTGATTTAGAGGTGAAATTGACGTTCTTTTATTTATTTGATTACCACTTGATTATCTTCATTTTAGAAGAAATAACTATGCTGTGTTTATGGTTCCGCTCAGATTATGGAACTTAGGGAAATTATGGAGTACACCATTAACAAGAACAATTTATCCTTTCGATTTTGCTCGCTACGAAAAGTTAAATTTTGTGCCAGCTTGATTCAATTATTATATTCCTAGTTCTCTGAAGACCATGATGCTATTAGCAGTTTATGTTCATAATAGTTTATATTTCATGCACATGTCACAAGTATGTATTTTAATGATCAACATCATAGCCTAGTCTACTAATGGTTCACTATGCGGTTTATTCCTTTACGAAGTGGGTTAAATGTAACCTATGATAACTACAAAACAGAGACTGATCGTGGGACGTTCTTTGTTGATTTGGTCATATGTGACATTTTTAGTAAGATGATCAGGATTGCAATGGTTTAATTTAAGAAGCTGGCGTACAACATTAGTTGATCCGCTTTTCTTGATAATTATGTTTCCCTTGCTTACTTTCTTACATTTATATGATGAGAGCACACGCGGAGTGTTTTTT